TTGTTGTTGATCTTTATTACTGATGAGCTTATTATGTTAACCTTTTTTTATGTGCTATTAATAAGTAACATATAGAGAGCATTTCATATTAAGAAAAGTTACTTCCTGTTGTCAGCAACATCGAGATTCAATTTCAAATTCTCCCTTGCGTTTCTAGCCGAACATCATACTCTATGATGCTATGTCCCACAAGACTAAACGAAGAGGAAATAGAAAATAGAAGGAGAAGATCGTAAAAAAAGAGAGAAAAGTCAATTGACGAATGGGACTAAAATTATCTAATGCACATTGCATTTTCTTGTTTGCAAAGAAGCAAATAAAAAGAAGGGAGAGAGGGAAAAAACGAGAAGCAAAAAACGATGTCATCCTTATCTTTCATAGTTGTCAAAAGACGACAACTATAACATGTGCTACTTGACTCAAGAGAGATTCTTGCCTATTTTATGCCCTTGTAACGCTCTATAGACATAATTCTTAATAATAAACAATAGAGAAGCAAGAATCAAAATATTCCATCCTATTGTCCATATGACATCGTATGTAATTCGTTTTCTTGTCAATCTCTCCTCTCTTTTTTTTTTTGCTTTGTATATCTTACTAATCATCACTCGGTCGAGCATTTTTTTTTCTTCTTCTTGCCTTTTGCTTGTAGACAAATAATATATATATATAAGAAAAATAGAATGGCAGCCGCAGCCTCATCGGCTGGCGCTGCCATTTCATCGATGATAACATTGATGAGAAAACAAAGTTTCCGTAACGATTTTGGACCATTAATGGATTATAATCAAGAAGATTCAACGAGTAGTAATCTTGAATGGATGAACAAACCATATATTAAAAATATTTATCGTCTTACTGGTCTTCTAAGTTTTATTTCAACATGTATGAATACACCTAAAACATTTGAATATCATCCATTTCTTCAATATGAAACATTTATTATTGATATAACATGTGCAGCAATATTAACAATTGAAGCTATTGTCAAAATAAAAACACGTGGATTATTAAAAAACGAATCCTCGTATTTACGAGATCGATGGAATCATTTTGATGCTATTATGGTTTTAAATATTTATTTTTCTATTATTTTACAAGTAAAAAAAAAAGTTTTTTTAATCTAATTTTTTTAATTGTTATTTTAATAGGCATTGGAATTAACTAGTATTGTTAATAATTATTCATATTTTACAATAATACGTTCACCACGACCTTTTATTCTTGTTAAAGTATTAAAAACATTTCTTAAATTTGAATTACCTAATAATCAAATTAAATCAATTCTTCAGTATGTTTAATTAGAAAAAATGATTCGTAGTTTTTTTTTCTATAAAATATATTTTAGGCGTTCGAGTTCACAAATTTATAATGTAACCATGTTTTTCCTATTCTTTATGAGTTTATATGCCATATTAGGTGTACAATTTTTTGGATCACTTACATTCCATTGTGTTAGGAACGATACTGATTTAAAGTATGTAGAGAAAAAATTTTTTTTTTTTTTCTTTCATTATTTTATTTTTTCTATTAAGTAATGTGATGAAAAAAGATTTAATGATACCAGATACATATTGTTCACCAACAAAAGATGGTTTTCATTGTCCAGAACATTTTGTTTGTAAAAAAATAGATATACAAAGAAATTTACGTGGTTATAATGGTTTTGATGAATTAGCAACAAGTTTTTTTTCTGTTTATGAATCTGCAAGTCAAGAAGGATGGGTTTTTCTTATGTATCGTGCAATTGATAGTTTACCATCATGGCGTGCATTTTTTTATTTCATTACATTAATTTTCTTTCTTGCATGGCTTGTAAAAGTAAGTTAAAGTTATTTTATATCTACCGGAAATTCTTATATATGACAAAGTTATTTATTTCTCGAAGTGACTTATTATCCTTTCTTATTTTCATGCCTTTAGCAATACTTTAGTTGAAAGGAATATTGAAGTAGAATTTTTATCGTCCACAAAAAGTCATGTCTATTAATGGGTTCTTTTTTTTTGTTTTTATAATTGAAAAAGAAAACGATTTTATAGAGGATTAGACATCTGAAAATTTCAGCTGATAGCGAAATATTTCTTTTATGAGTATAATCGTTCTAATTGTTAATTGATAAAATTACTAATTATTTTGAATTAGAACTGTCATAATAAAAGATTAAGATAAGTACGTCATCCGCACGTGTTTATCATATACAGATGACACTTTATATGAAAAATATTTGTTTAGAATGTATTTATTGCCGTTATTATTGAAACTTTCGCGGAAATTCGTGTTCAATTTCAACAAATGTGGGGTTCACGAGGCGCACCATCTGATATAGAATCAACAAAAGTAAAAAAATTGACATTTCTTATGCAAAAATTTTAATTTATATGCATATATAGATACTACAAAAAGCGGATGATAGTACATTAAAATTAGTTAATATTGATGAAAATAAAAAGAAAGGTGTTGCACCAGCTATATGTTTAAAAATTGTTCAATCATCTGCATTTACAACAATGGTTATGATTGTTGTACTTGCTAATACAATATTTACTGCAACTATCAAACATACACATAATGAAAGAGTTGATCGAGAAAATCGTGAAATTTATCATAAAATTGAGGTAAGAAAAAAAAATGATAATTTAATTTTTTTGTTTAGAGAAAAAAAATTAATAAAATATTCTTTTAGACATTATTTACTATATTTTTTGATTTGGAAGCACTTTTTAAAATTTTTTCATTGGGTTTTAAAAATTATATTCGTCGATCAATATTTAAATTTGAATTTATGCTTGCTCTTGGTACAACTGTTCATTGTTTTACACCATTTTATCGAAGTGCATTTACATATTTTCAAGTTCTGCGTGTTGCTCGTTTACTTAAATCAAGTCCTCTCCTAGAAGATTTTCTTAATAAAGTAAGAAAAGAATAGATAATCAAATACACTTCATAGTACTTATATGTTATTCTATATTATTTAGATATTTGGTCCGGGTAAAAAACTTGGTAGTTTAATTCTATTTACAATGTGTTTACTCTTGATAACATCATCAATTAGTATGCAATTATTTTGTTTTATCAAAGGTCTTAAACAATTTGAAACATTTCCACGAGTAAGTTAAATTATTAATGTTGTGTATACGATAAAATCAAATCTTCTCAGGCATATATGTCTATGTTTCGTATCGCTATGAATGATGGTTGGACAGAAGTGATGTATTCAGTAATGGATGAAGTTTATGAATTTGGAATATTCTTTTTATATCTAACGGCACTTTTCTTCATATTTTTTCATTTATTAACTAATTCAGTAAGTCGCAGAATGCGCGCATACACGAGTTGATATGAAGTTTTTGTTAAGCATGAGCATGAGTTGAAGAATGAAAAACAAAAATTTTCTTTTTTTGCTGCATATTTGATAAGCTTGATTTCTATAGGCATTTATATCAATGTTTCAAGTTTTAACACAAAAAGGTTGGGTTGATGTTATGCATTATACAATGATACATAGTTTACAAGATGTAGCTCCATTTGTTGCTATCTATTTTATTGTTTATCATCTTGCCATTAATTTGGTATGCATAATAATCTGTTGTATGCATGTATTTGTCTGTGAAACTTTTGTGCTTATTTTAATGTATGACTATATTAGTGATAAATTTAAAACACGGTGGGTTTTGTCTAATAGATTGTGCTGTCACTTTTCGTTGCCGTTATTTTGGACAATCTTGAACTTGAAGAAGATGTGAAAATGATTAGACAGGTATGTCATTTCTATTGTATTGGGTGTATGGGTGAATAAAATGTATCTATTCAGTTAAAAACACGCGAAGCAAGTGCTGAAACTCAACAAAAATTACCATGGCGTTTACGTGTATTCGAACGTTTTCCTGATCATCCTCAAATGATTGTACTATCACGTTTACCACATGATTTTATAATTCCAAAAATTCGTGATAGTTTTATGCGTCAATTTCTCAATCAAGATGATATTTATTCTTATCCACTTGAACTTTCAATGAATATCTATAGTAAAAAGCATACAGTTAAAACATTACATATACCAGAACATCGACCAACAGGTGAAAGTATGAAACGAACAGCTGTATCAAATATTATAAGGTTAGAGTCTATTCTTATCATTTAATTCAATTTATTATCATTTGTTTTTGCAGAAGTGCTAGTAATCAACGTTTATTAAGTGGTGATGCCAGTCAAGTACATTTAGCGAGTATGGGTGACAATAAAATATCTGTATTTGTTCAACAGAATAAGATTCGACTTGATCGAAAGTATGAAACAAAAACTCTAATTAATAATCTATTGAATTTATTCTTATAAATAGAAATTCAATGCGTCGGTCAGGTTATCGACCGAAACCAGTACATGTTGTTCGTGAAAATGGAGATATTGGAGGATTACAAGGTCGAAATCAAGATGATTATGATATAAAAGTGTTTCAATACCGTAAACAACAAGCTGAATTAAAACGGTTGGTTTTGAAATTTTGAAATAACAAAAATTCTATTTTGACTTCTTATTATAGAAATCAACAAGAAGAAGATCTTCGTGAAAATCATCCTTATTTTGATACACCTTTATTTACAATATCACGTGAAAGTAATTTTCGAAAATTTTGTCAACTTGTTGTCGAAGCTCGATACAATCTGATTCCGAAAGATCGCCTCGGACAAGAACCAAAAATAAGTCGATATAAACAAGGAAAGTAAGTTTATTTTATAATTCTCAAAGAATTCTTTATATAAATATTATTATTATCCTATAGTAAATTTCTTGGTTTGGTTACTTATCTTGATTGGATTATGATACTTGTAACAATTCTATCTGCAGCTAGTATGTCATTTGAAACACCTATTAGTCGAGTTGTTGATCGACCATTATTACAAGTAAATTCTTTATTTTTTCGATATTTAAAATATAATTTTGAACAAATTTTCTTAGATCGCAGAATATGCATTTGTTATTTGTATGAGCGTTGAATTAACATTAAAAATATTTGCACATGGATTATTTTTTACACCTAAAGCTTTAATTCGAGATATTGGCGGAGCTATCGATGTTTCCGTTTTCTTTGTTGGTCTTATTTATTTATGTTGGCTACCACAAAATGTTCCAGCAAATAGTGCGGCGCAATTTCTTATGCTTCTTCGATCAGCACGACCATTACGAATATTTATTCTAGTACCTGATATGAGAAAAGTTGTTTATGAAGTTTGTCGAGGTTTTAAAGAAATTCTATTGGTATGAAATTATTTTGATTGTCAAAATAGAGAATAAAAATATCTTTTAGGTATCGATTCTACTCGTTGTATTAATGTTTATATTTGCTATTTATGGTGTTCAAATAATTGGTGGTCAATTAGCTCGTTGTAATGATCGAACATATTATAATGATCAAGTATGTTGTGTATCTTTTTATTATAATAATAATTTGTTTTTTTGAAGGCATTATGTCAGGGAACATTTTGGAGAGAACTTTATGTATCAAAAATGAATGTTAGTGGAAATGATCCAGTTATGTTAGTACCACGTGTATGGTATGTAATCGATAAATTAGTTTTCCCGAAAGAAAATTTCATTTTTAGGGCTAATCCACATAATTTTGATTTTGATTATATTGGAAGTGCAATGTTAGCTTTATTTGAAGTTCTTTCACTTGAAGGATGGCTTGAAATTCGTGATATAATTATGGATCGTATGGGTCCAGTAAGTAGTATAATCTTTTTTCTCGAAAGACTAAAATTAATTAATTTAGGAACATGCAATCTTTGTTCATATATTCGTATTTATTGGTACATTAATTGGTTTAACTCTATTTGTTGGTGTTGTTATTGCAAATTATTCCGAAAATAAAGGAACAGCTTTATTAACAGTTGATCAACGTCGTTGGATGGATTTAAAAGGTCGTATTAAACTTGCTCAACCATTACGTACACCACCTCGACCAGAAAATAGCAAATTTCGTTCATATATATTTGATATAACACAAAATCGTTTATTTAAAAAATCATCGGCTGTACTTGTTCTACTGAATTGTGCATTACTCTATAAACCATGGAAAGCAAAAGAAAAAATAACACAAATCTCCGCATTAATTTCATCATTATTTACATTTTTATTTCTTGTTGAAGCTGTTATGAAATCTATTGCATTAGGTTTCGTGGGTTATTGGCAATCACGTCGTAATCGTTTTGATTTATTAGTTACTATACTTGGAATTGGATGGATTGTATTAAATTTTATTTCTATAGGACAAAGTGACCTTGTAAGACAAAAAAATTTATTCTTGAGGGTATAGTTTTGCCTTTTTTTTCTTTATTTAGCAAGAATTTAGTAATACATTTGGATTTACTGTAATCATACTTCGATTTTTTACTATTGCCGGAAAACATGTAAAATAAAAAAAATTTTGGTTTTATTTTAATTGATTTTTTTTGTTTTTAGGCGACACTTAAAATGCTAATGTTAACCATTATTGTATCATTTTTTAAATCGTTTTTTATTATTCTTGGTATGTTTTTATTGATGTTAGTATATGCATTTGCAGGTGTTATATTATTTGGTTGCGTTAAATTTGGTCCGGAACTTGGACGACATGCGAATTTTAAAACTGTACCAAATGCAATTGTTCTTCTGATGAGAATTGTAACAGGTGAAGATTGGAATAAAATTATGCATGATTGTATGGTTGTACCACCACGATGTACACGTGGTGGATCTTATTGGGAAAGTGATTGTGGAAATTCGACAGCATCAATACTTTATTTTTGTTCATTTTATATTATAATCACTTATATCGTACTGAATCTTCTTGTTGCTATTATTATGGAGAATTTTTCATTATTTTATTCGAATGAAGAAGATGCATTACTTAGTTATACTGATATTCGACATTTTCAAACTGTTTGGAATATGATCGATACGGGAAGAAAAGGTGTTATACCAGCACGACGTGTTAAATTTTTATTACGATTACTTCGAGTAAATATTATATTTTTGTCATCTAGAATTAACTTATTTATATTTTTGTAGGGTCGATTGGAAGTAGATGCAGAAAAACTTTATAAACATATGTGTTATGAAATTGAAAAATTAAATAATGGTAATGATGTAACATTTCATGATGTACTCAAGTAAATATATTGAATTATTTTTGTTTTTACGATAAATTTATTGTTTTTCTTTAGTATGTTAGCATATCGTTCGGTTGATATACGTAAATCATTACAATTTGAAGAATTATTAGCACGTGAAGAACTTGAATATTTAATAGAAGAAGAAGTAGCTAAATTAACAATTCGTAATTGGCTTAATAAATGTTTAAAAAGGATTAAAACAAAAGATCAAACAAATGTTATTAAAAGTTTACAACGTAGTAATGAATTAGCATTTTTTCGTGAAGCACAAGCATTAACGACGAGTGAAACATTGAAAAAGCCAGCTGATAGTACAAGTGGTGAAGAAGAACGACGATTGAAAAGTACTGAGGATCGTCAACAACAACAGCAACAACTACAATCTCAACAAACACAAAAAGATGTAGCTAAAAGAAAACTTGATAGAACAATAACATTACCAACACCTTCAAATGACAATTCAAATTATCGAACACAAGCAGGTACACGTGATACACCTGTTGAACCGAAAGGACCGAAACGACAAATGCATCAACAATTACAACAGAATATGAGTGTTAATTTAAGTAATGATGAATCTTATCCATGGCGACCTTGGCAAGCAAGTAGTTATAATAATGGACGAAAAGATGTTGAATCATGGTGGACAAATCAATTTCAAATGTCAACATAGTCTGGTGCTTCCTATAATTATACTTTTTTTTGTTGTATATGAATCTATATTATTGTGGTCTTTGTTCTATTTATTGAATACACATCTATTCTATTTTTTATAAAAAAAAAACAAGAACAAGATAGATATACATATAAATAGCATAGATTAATCATTGTCTTGTTATCATATTTAAAATAAATTAGTAAATTTTCAGAGTGTGAATCTACTAAAAGATTA